CATTATTATTAAGTTGGAGGCCTAGTCTCAAAACAAGTAAATGTTAGTCTTGTTATAAACGAAAAAAGTAATAAACATTTTCACAGGATTCCTTTGTATATTTTAAATTTTAATTTCTCATTTGTAAAATGCCTCATTTTATCTTTAGCTTCCTTAATTTCTCATATAAATAAACATAAATATTTTATTAAGGATACTATTACTTATAAATCACATTTATTTAAAGTATTTGGTCAATTAATACATAGAATGTCCTTTTTATTCACTTGAATACATTACTACCAAATCAAAATCACAAATTATTTTCTTTAGTCCTTTAGCTGTTTATTCACTAGATAAACTTTACTTACTGTTTTGCATGGTAGTATTTTCTTAGTGCTCATTGATATCAATTTTTTGCCACTTTCCAAAAAATCAGTCCTTGTTGCACTTTAAATACAAAGTGTGCCCACAGACTAGTGTGTTTAATGCTTAGTCCCTGTCAATGGTGTTTTTCTGAGAGGTGATGGGCTCTTAAGGGCAGGGCTAAGCAGGAGGAAGTGGCTGAGAACAGGGATGTGAAAGTTGAACCTGGTCCCCAGTTCACTTCCTTTCTCCCTGTTTCCTGTCAGCCATTTGAAAAGCTTCTTCCTCCTGCACTCACTTCTGCCCCTGTGACGCTCTGTCCAAGCACATAGAACCAAATCCACCCAGACAGAACCCTCCAAAATGGTGAGCCAAAACAAATCATCCCACACTTATGATGTTTTGGGTGAGCAAGCATTCTGTCACAAAAACAAGGAAACTAACACCATGGTTGATTTTTAGGTTTAATGTAATTCTTCTGCTTTCTGGCAAATGTTTTACTTGGCCTTTGAATGGTTTCATGATTTTCTAATTTTTGTTAACCAAATAGTATCCATTAATTTGCTTTCTTTTTTTTCCTAAATAATCAATAGCTCACAAGATAGCAAGAAATTGTAGATAAACCCTCGTGATGGAGAAGGGCCCCAAATCTTAGTAAACCCTCAAACCAACTGACTCCATGATGAAAGTACTATTCAGGCCATAAAACTCAGCACATAGACAGCACCACCTCCCAAAATGAAAACAAAGACCATCATAGTCCATAATTCTGGTAAAGTTTCTAAATGTACTAGCCCTGGTTTTTGTCTCCTGTAGTTCGGCGTATGGGTAACTATTAACTTAAGTATCTCAAAGCAAGACATGGTTTTTAAATTTAAAAGTTCACCCTGAGAAAGGCTTGGGGCTACACTGAAATCCCAGACACTCAGTGGATTTGCTGGCCAGCTAATAAAGACTTTCTATTGGCTTAAATCCATGCCTGAGCAGCCTTCTTTGATGGATATCCCCCCCTACCACCGATGACTTGAAATATATACATAAGTCAAACTAATATCCAAAACAATAAGAGACAGATGTTAAGAAGAAGGCATGAGAAAATGGGGGACTTATCTGAGGAGCCAGGAGGAAAAGTAATGCCGTGGTAGAGCCGAGAGAGATAAATTGCACTGAAGGTGTTTGAAATAAAACGTAAAGATACATTATAAGCTTACTTCAACATATATATACTTGTGTGTACACACATATATTGGGACATATATGTTACACCACATGGGATGTTGGTAGTCATGCCAAGAGCCATACACTTGTGTGTGCATGTTAATTGGCATCTAATAATGCCAGTACCTGGCAGGTGAAACCTCCCCTCGAGTTGTCGGTCACAGGGACAGATGACACTCTCAAAACAATGCAAGTCACTATTCTTGCCCTTGCTTACCTTCCTAGTGCTGAAGAGATCACACGCTTTGGACACAGGACTGGAGGTATCACACTATGCCTGACCTGGAAGCCTCCTCCTGAAGACTGGATCTCACTGTATCGGAAGGTGCAGTGCAAGCCGCCAGGGAGAGGAACAGTTAGTAGTTCCATCCCACTGTAAAGCCTATGAACCATAACAGTGCAGACATCTTGAAGGACTATCATGCCTACCACAGGAAAACTGGAGTAGTTCTGTTTTCATTAGTGTTGCACGTGGCCACCCGTCCTTGCACGGTGCCCCAGCTTCAGAAGTAGAAGTGAAGGGAAGAGCAGATTACAAATGTCAAATCTCTTTACAGCATCCCCCCTCCACTTTCTCCTCCTCCTCCTCCTCCTCCTCCTCCCCCTTCTCCTCCTCCTTCCCCTTCTCTTCCTCCTTCTCTTCCTCTTCCTCCTCTTCCTCCTTCTCTCCCTCCTTCTTCTTTGAGACAGAGTCTTGCTGTGCAGCCCAGGCTGTCCTACCTCTGCTTCTGAGAATGCTGAGATTCTGGGTATGCACCACCACATCCAATGTTTTTATTTTTGAGATGTTCTTCAGCAGCCCAGGCTGGCCTTGGATTTGAGACTCTCTTTCCAATGCTCCGCTTTTATCTGAGTCTTTTATTTTACACTTTTATTTATTTATTTATTTTATTTATGAGTACACTGTAACTGTCTTCAAACACACCAGAAGAGGGCATTGGATCCCATCACAGATGGTCATGAGCCACCATGTGATTGCTGGGAATTGAACTCAGGACTTCTGGAAGAGCAGTCTGTACTCTCAACCACTGAGCCTTCTCTCCAGCTTGTGTCCTTTCTTCTTGCCTGTACTTAATCACTTTCCCTACCAGGATGTATGTAGTTGAGTCATCAGAAAGATGAAGAACTTGGAAATGGTTGTTGGACTCCTCCCACTGGTCTAGTGTGGACACAGTGAGCAAGCTCTACCTCTCTGTGTGCTCTCCAGAGCTTAGTGGGGAGAACCAGGTGGGGACAAATGTAAAGCCATTAAACAGAAGCCGGCACCCTGCCTTCCTAAAGATCATGTTGCTCGAAGAGCCAATGCTTGCTTGGGATAAAGAGGAAGCGTTGGGCTCAGCTCACTTGAGTCCTTCATTAGATGTCATTTTGCACCACATATAGCATAACCCTCCTTAAGTCTTTATGCTCTGGTTTGTACACATACAGACGGCTGTTACCTGCAAATGAAGAAATTCAGGCTCGGAACAGTGGCGTATAACCTAAGTGTCAGAACTAGATGTACAGCTAGATCTGCTGCCAGCCCTAACAGCAGAAAATGTCCTCACTCTGGCTCTCTCTAGCAAGAAGTCAAGATGAAAGCCACCACAATCCTCATAGTGTACTCTTTGGTGTCTAAATGGCAATCTTGATGGCACTTGTCTCCCTAAACCAACCTTTCCATCACACAAGATGTTACGATGACCTCTCAGAGCCGATCAGGAGTTACACACTACCTCTGTTTGATCACAACACATTTCACTGGCATGTGGCTATTGCCCCAGATGTCTTACTTACTCGGGGCAGTTCTAGTGTGAAGATAACTCATCTGGGGGATATTTTCTTTTCTTCTTTTTCAAACTACTTTGAAAAAGTAGTTGTGATGCTCTAGGTGTTTAGTGAACACAGCTCAATTTACTGAGATTTGTTCATTCATTCATTCATTCATTCATTCATTCATTCATTTTGAAAGCATGCTTTAAAGAAACAAAGATGCTGAAGTCATGCATGGTGCTGTAATCATGATGCTCCAGGAAGCTGGAGCAGCAGTATCACTGTGAGTTCAAAGCCAGCCTAGGCTACCAACCAGCCAGGGCTACATAGTAAGAAACTGCTTCAAGGTGAGCAGAGGGAGAGGAAGGAAGGAAGGAAGGAAGGGAGGGAGGCAGTGATCTTTAGATGAGGCACAAGACTTATTTAAAAGAGAATTTTTATTGTTGCCATATAGCTGGTCTCAGTCCTTCATCTCTCTCATAAGGAGTGATGGTTTGGGTGTGAGGCAACCAGTTCAGAACCTCTGCTAGGAGACACATAAAATGTCCCTTTTCTAAACTGGAATTTGTTGATTTTTTTTTTTTGGTATTTTATGATTGATGATATTTTTAAGATTTTGAAGAAAATTTAAAAGATCAAAGCACCGTATTAAAACTTTCTGATGGTAATTTTATGAATGTTGGGTTATTATTCAAATTAAGTTTTCATGTTTTGTAATGTTGTAATCTGGTAATTTGAGAATTTAAAGTTACTCTTGTAATCTTCACTGTGTTTCTACTGAATAATACTGGTTGTTTTGTTTAGTTTCCAGACAAGGTCTCACTTATAGCCTTAGGTCTCACTTGTATAACCCTGGCTGGCCTGGAACTCAGTATAAGTTCAGGCTGACCTAGAACTCAGAGATCTTCTGCCTCTTCCTCTCAAATGCTGGGATTAAAGGCCTCTTCCTCCACAACCCAGCTTCTCTTGTTGGGTGGTGGTATGTGGATTTTGTTTTGAGACTGGGATTTATGTAGCCCAGGCTGGCCTCTAAATCAGTAAGTAGTCCAGGATGAACCTGAACTCCTGATTCTCCTCCGTCAACTGCTTGGGAGTATAGGTGTGCGGCATCACACCTCACTCTTCCTGGATCTTAAAGCTGTTTGGTTTTGGTTTATCGATTGTCCAACACTAGACTGCAAGAGAGATCATTCGCATCCCATTCCAGTCCACTTCAGACAGAAACTGGACCATGTATGTCCTAAATACTGATTTTGGTTTTGCTTTTTAGATTTTCGACTTTACTGCTCCTTATCCGGAGGAGAAACGTCCAGCCTCCCCCGGCTCTGGGTCTGAGCTCCTTCAGCTCTACGCCCGCTGCTCATCACTGACCAAATGCTCTGGGCCCAGAAAGGAGGCATAGCTGGACACACACTTGACAAAATCTCCTTTTTGCCGCGCGGGGTTGGGTGCGGGGCAGAACCGGTCCCACAAAAGCAAAGGGGCCGGCCGGGTGAGCGCCCTCTTTCTAGGAAATCGGCGCCACAGCCTCCCGCGGTGCACTTCTCCCTCCGGCCACACGGGGGCAGGAGAGAGCGCGGCGTCCGTGGTACAATCTATCTCTCCCCCCGCGCCCGCGGACAGTGGGCTCTTCCGGTCGTAGAAAAGCATTGTGGGAGAGCGATGCGTCCTTTCTGTGCTCTCGCGCGGCGCGCAGCATGGTGTGCCTGGAAGCTGGGGTTTGGGAGGTAGTTGGCGTGGGATCTAGGTTGTCCGCGGCAGCCTTTCGCCTACGCCCCCTTCCCTGAAAATAGGGAGATGGCGCGGACTCGGTGGCCGTGTGAGGAGCACGGCTCGCGGGACCCCGGGTGAAGCAGGTCGGTGTGGAAGCCGAGCGCCGTTTGGGCTGTAGATCTTCGCCATGTGCCCAGGCGCACAACGGGGCAGAAATGGAGCGGACATCCAAGTCACAAGGTAGGTTGATTGCCCACTGCCTGACGCCCTATTCATGTAGCCTTTGTGTTGCCCGTTCACTTTTGGTCACTAGTGAATGTGGTGTCAAAAAAGGCATAAAGTAATGCTTTGCGGCCTTTCCTTTCCCTGGAGTTTGGTATCTTGGGTGTAGGAGCTGCATAAGTAACAAAGTCTACTCTAGTTGGTGTTTGCAAGTGAACTTACTGTCCAACGCCAGGAATGTACCTTTAACTAGTTCTTACTCGTTCAACAGGTGAGTGCCTGAAGCTGACGGATACTTCCTGAACAACACGCGGGAGCACAAAGTGGCTTAAGGTAGGATGACTACAAAGCACCAGTTCTGCGATTTCCTTTTAGGTTGGAATGCTGAATCATGAGTCTTACTGATTCGATTGTATTGCATTGCCGGTACTTATCTGAAATTAACATAGACTGTAATGTAAGAGACACAGCCTTTACCCATTGGCTAACTTTTATGCATTTTTTTTTCCTGAGTACATAGTACTGAACAGAAATAGTACATTAGTGGGTTTGAAAATCTGTTTGGATCTTTATTAGCTAGAAAAACTGCCAAACCTACAAGTCAAAAATTAGGTAGCTTTCAACACTCAAGGCTTTGGTGGGGGTTTATGTTACCAGATAACTTTGACACTTAAAGCGGTTTTTTTTTTTATCTTTTCTTTTAGGATGTCCTTGATTTGGAAATTTGATCTTTAGAAGCATGAGCCATTTAAGTTTTGTGGGAAGCTGGTCAAAACTCCACATAGGTGAATGCACATTTGTAACAAGGCTATGAATAAATACTTTGATACTATTCTGAGGCTTGTATGTTGTGATTGGCGGCCGCCTTACTGTGGGTTCATATGTAACAGCTAAACTGATAGGTAGAGCTATTTCAGCTTAGATTGACATAATCTCCTTTTGCTTAACAGGAAGGGACAGCTAGTACATTGGGTATTCGTGGTCATAAATTTTACTTTAAAGTGTCCTAAGCATTAGAATAAAGTACCACAAATGCTGTGTGAGGTGAATCCAAGATCTGAATCAGTCATGGAAATCTGAGGGGAGGGGAGGTACCACTGCAGAGCAAAGTTGAAAAGTGATCCAGTACAAAGAGTTAAGGAAGTAGTAAAGAGACCAGACCACTAAGGCTTAGGTTTTATTAAAGCAAGAGAGGGAGCCAGAGCAGGGCACACAGGTGGGCAATGAGAGCTTACCCCAGTGAGGTGAGCTGCAAGGACGTGGGGATGAAGAGGCCCTAGAATTACAGCAGAAGAATGAAGAGGACATTGAGACAGAACACTGGGAAGGAATCCTTGAATTTGGTTTTAGTTTTGTGGGGGAAGCAAAGGCCACAGTTGAACCTTGGGAGTTGGGGGTAGAGCTTGGCAAACACTTATCATTGAGCAGTCTGCCCCCAGTTGAAGCCTCAAATAGCTGGAGGCATTTGTGGCATAAAGTTGAATTACTGGGCAGTAATAAAACTCCAGCATGGCAGAGGCAGGTATCTGAGACCTTGTCTTGAAAAGGCTTAAATAGTAACTGAGTGGAGAATTTCAAGGGAGCTAGAGACCGCTACAGGAAAGGATAGGTCACAGCTGATGGCAGATACAGAGGGTTCTGAGTACTGTTCCTATCTGAAAAGCCATCATGCAGAGATAAAGGTCCATGGGAACATGGGTGGGCAGGTGTGTAGAGTCAGGGACAAACCTCACATGGGCTTATTTTTTTTTCTTCAGAAAACACAAGACAAGGACACTTAAATTCAGATCAACACTTAACAGCTTTTTACATTACTTGTAAATAACCATGGGACTTAATGTCACAAAGTAACAATATTACAAACCATTTTGTGGGAATAAAAGTCACTACAGTCTGATGTGGGTCAGGAATCCAGGGGCTCATTAGAAGCCTCTCATATTGGCTGTGGTGGAGAGAGGAGAAACATGGAGTTGGATGGTCAGAATTTCAGCAAAGATTGTGGAATCCAGTGAGTTTATAAGGTTGTCCTTCCAGAGGCCCACAGCACAAGAATGCTGTGCATAAATCCTTAATCCGTAAGAGATGCTAATGTTCTTGTGCTAAAGACACATGTCCAGGATATGTAGATAATTATCTAATTCACAGTTTCAAAAGTACCAGTGGCACACACACCTCCATACCCCACCCCACACCCCTTAACCGGGTCAAGTCTCTGTCTTGAGACGAGCAGCCTGGATGGTTTTTATTGTTTTTGCTGTGTGTTTTCCAGCCAGATTGATTGTAGATAGCTGAGATTTTTCTTCAATCAGGCTGTCTTTAGACCCATTTCTTCTCTAGAAAAAAAAAATGTTAAAAGTCAAAATAACCAAATCAAGTACTTAAAAGCAACACCAGAAGCTGGGTGTAGAGGAACACACTTGTAACCCCAGGAAGAGCAAATCCAGCCTGAGCTACTAGTGTGGCCACCCTAAACTATTCGTTTATGACACTGTTGTAATTAGAGAAAATTTTCTAGTACTAACTGTAAAACCACATGTGTTTAATCTTGGTCTGACAGTTGGGTACACATCAATTTTCATAAAAAACTGGGCACAATTTACCTATGTACTTTAGAGACTTTCCTTAACAACACTTTCTTCTAAAGACCAGAAAGGAGAGGCAAAAGCATCCCTGGTTCTATTCCAGTGAGCTACACCATGAAATGGTTCGTGTACAGTGTGATAGCACAGAGTTCATGTCATCTGGGACATGTCACTGCCACCCAGGGCAAGAAAGGTCAACTGCCTACCTGACCTGCACACCATACCCAGGAGTTGGAAACGCCAAGACCATCACCCCACCCACAGGGCCTCACAACAGTTGTTCAGGTCAGCTAGAGATGACTTTGGTTGCTATAGCTTCATATGTATAAACATCTGAGAATAAAGACTCAGCTACTGTATTCAAAGGAATTTCTGAAAGCACAGGATGCTTCTCAAAATTCTTGTAGGCTACTTACCTGTGGTATACACCTTTGACCCCAGCACATGGGAGGCAGAGGCAGGCAGAGTCTGTGAGTTCAAGACCAGCCTGATCAACAACAAAGGAGGTACCTGGCCAGACAGGCTTACAAAGTGAGACCCTATCTCACTAAAAAAAACAATAACTTTTTTTAAAATGTCATCTGTTGGGCTGGCAAGATGGCTCAGTGGGTAAAAGCCTTGTAGCTCAGTCCTCACTACCTGAGTTCAAATCCCAGAACCATGTAAAACAGTTCTGAAAGCAATTCTTTAACACACAGACCATACTCATACACAATAAATTTTATATATGTATTCATCAGTAGGATGCCTTAAACCTATACTAACCTGATGAACTGTAGAGCCTCCAGACCCCTGAGCATCCGAGGAGCGGGTGACCGGAAGTGGTGGTACAAGATCTGTCTTTGAGCTGCCAAAGAGAAAGCGTCAGAGTCTATGAACAAGACAGAACTCAGATCCTAAGCTCCACCTGCTGGCCAAGGCAGGGAGCTCTGCGGGCTGTGTTGTCTGGAGCCATGGGATTGACCACTCACTTCACTTCCGAGAGAACGGATCGCTCTCCGTCTGAGCACTGGGATCTCCGGTACTGCCGGTAACTCCGAGGGGAATGCGAATGCCTGATGCGGACGGGGTCACCCTGAGTCCTGAGGGGAAACCGGACAAAGGGAGGACACAAACACAGACATCAACAGCATGGTAGTGTGCAGTTTTCCTGAGTGCTAAACTGAAAGCAACTTTCAGCTGTTCTTGACTCTCATGTTTCTTTTGCGGGTGGCTTTTTAATTGTATTCAGGGTCTCCTGAAGTCCAGGCTGGCTTCAGACTGAAGATGACTTCAACTCCTGATCCCCAAGCCCCACATCCCACACGCTGAGTTCAGCTATATGTATGTTTCTCTGCACCTAGCTCAGACAGGGATGGGGTTTGGTTTGTTTTGCATTGGGGGGGGGTGCTGTTGTTTGGAGGGGCATTTTTGTTTTAAGGTTTTTTGTTTTGTTTTTAAGAACTTAATTTTTATGGTCCTTGAAAGCAGTAGTCTAAATTTTACAGTACTTTACAAAAGCAAATGCTCCCCTATTTACTCATGCAAGGCAAGCTCTTCATTGTGTGGGGTGGGGCGGGGCGGGGTGTATGCATGTGAGAAGGTGTGTGTGTATGTGTGTGAGCATGTGTGTGTGAGTGTGAGAGTGTGTATGTGTGTGAGTGTGTGAGTGTGTGTGAGAGTGTGTGGGTGTATGCATATGAGAAAGTGAGTGTGTATATGTGAGTGAGCGTGTGAGTGTGTGAGGATTTGAGGGTGTGTGTGTGCACACACATGTGTGTGTAACCACAACTTTCGTTGCTGTTGTTTGGAGACAGGGTCTCATGATGTAGTCCTGGCCTGGACTTTGTAGACCTAAGTAGCCCTGAAACCTGAGTGCTCTCCCGCCTCTGCCTCCAGACAGGGGTGCTCTACCTGGCCTGCATTAACCACTAAGAGTTGAACACTTCTGAGAATTCAGTTGAGTTCTCTTCAAGAATATGGAAAAAAGGATCTACAGTGAAGACAGAAGCTTCAGCTTCCTGTCAGGAAAGTCAGTTCTAGCTGACACCATCCATGCTGGGAAACTGCTGAATGCATCAGTGTTCATGATGCACACATAAAGATCAGGTGGTAGACGTGTGTGCCTTCCTGACTAACGACTTCACAGTGTGGACACATCTTAGAATGTCCCATTATATGCTGTAATTCTCTGAAACACTTAACTTTAAAAAGAAAAAAATCAATCCTTGACCTAAAAGTGATGGGAAGAGGGCTGGCAAGCCTGCCGCCAAGCCTGACCTGAGTCCCAGAGAGACTATCGTGATGGAAAGAGAGAACTGCTTCCCACAAGCTGTGCCACACATGTGGGTGAACACATACATACATACATACAAGCGTACATACGTACATACATATGTACATATACATATATATACACATACATGCATACACATATGTACATATATGCATACACACATACATATGTACATATACACATACACACATACATACGTACATATACACATACATACACATGCATAGTAAAACAATTACAAGGTAATGAGAGGTGTTTGGCCAGTGGGAAGAGGCTGGGAAGCTGGGCCTCAGTTTTTCTGGATGGGAATACTGGGTCATAGAGAGGAGGAGGTAACAGAGTGTGCTCCTCCCATATTCCTGAAGATAATTCAAGCGAATTCTCAGATGTATTTACATTTTAGTGGTTAAACCAAACTAGGTAAAGCACACCTGTGATCTCAGAGTCTGGAGGCAGAGCAGGAGAGCACTCAGGTTCTAGGTTACACGATCCAGGCCTTCTAGGTTACACAATCCAGGCCGGTTTTCCCTTGACCCACTACAAGGCACATAATAGCCAATACATGCTCAACAGTCAGGGCTGGAGATTGGTGCTGAGCATTCACGAAGCCTGTTCAGTTCAGTGTAGTCCTAAGATGGTGTCTTAGTTAGGGTTTCGTTGCTGTGAAGAGACACCATGACCAAGGCAACACTTATAAAGGCAACATTTAAAAACTCTTACAAAGACAAAATATAAAGGCAGCTCTAGTCAAGAGTTGGCTTACAGTTTCAGAGATTCGGTCCATTATCATCATGGCAATGTGCAGGCAGACTTGGTGCTGGAGGAATCAAGAGTTCTACATCTTGATCCAAAGGCAGTCAGGAGGAGACTCTCTTCCACACTGGGTGAAGCTTGAGCATAGGAGGCCCAAAGCCCACCTCCACAGAGACATACTGCCAACAAGGCCACACTTCCTAATAGTGTCTTCCTTCCCATGAGCCAGTCATGTCCAAACCACCACAGATAGGAACTTTAGCTCATATGACAGTTTTGCAGTAAATATAATTCTCTCTCAGTGTTAAAATGATAAGACAAAACTGACTCTTTTATCAATGAGTACCTCAGCCAGAAAAAAAAATCTTTTTTAAGTGGACATTATTAATCATTTATTGTAACTGTTTATGTACAGACAAGCAGAAGAGAAGAGCTGAGAGTCATGAAGTATGGAACAAGAGCAGTTTTATAATGTTTGAAACAGGGTCTCTCACTCTTTGGCTCAGACTGGCCAAGAACTCACAGGAAACCAACCTGACTTTGAACTTGTGTCAGTCCTTCTGCCTCTGCCTCCCAAGTTCAAGGATTAGAAACCTGAGGCACCACTGGAGAGAATAGTTCTATACACCTTTCTTCCTCGTTCCTTACATTAACCTCTGTTAAGATACAGATGGAAACACAGCGTGGACCACAGTGTAAGAACAAACTGTTCCCTCCTGTGGTGGTGTGAACGGGAACAGCCCCCGGATGCTCATGTTTGAATACTCAGTACCCAGTCAGTGGAACTGTTTGGGAAGGATTAGGAGGTGTGGCCTTGTTGGAGAAAGTGTATCACTGGGGTAGGGCAGAGGTTTCAAAAGACTTGAGCCAACCCAGTGTGCCTTCTTTGCTTTCTATGCTGGATCAGAATAAGTGTCAGTTGTTCCTGTCAGCTTTGCTCTGCCATCCCGGACTCTAAGGTGGATTCTAATGCTCTGAAACTGTAAGCCAAATTAAACACTTCTTTTTTTGTTTCCTTGGGTATGGTGTTTTGTCATAGCAATAGAAAAAAAAGTAAAATACTTTTATTAGTTTATTAGTAATATACTAATAAAACTGGGTGAAGACTTTCAAAGCTGTACTCACTCTACTTTAGTGTATGGGATCTCTTTCAACTGCTCTTCTGACAATCCAGATGGGTCCACAAGCTCCTTCCTAGGAAAGAATAGCAATAAGGTTAAAAGAAACAAGAAAAGCCGTCGGGCCTGCACACATACCAATACCTTTCCCAAACTGGAATGCTTTCCTTTTCTGCCCTTGTCTCAAAACGTGGGCTTATTAAAAAAAATAGCATGCATGTGTGATATGACACACACGTGACATGCACAAAGCTATGAAAACTAGAATGTGTTCAGGGGAAAATGAGAGAAACTCTTTCTGTAGCCCTTGGCTTCTTCCCCTCCTTTCTAGGCCCACTCTCTTCAGGTCCCCACTTCCTGCACTGATAAGCTTCTCACCCTGTGGTGGTGCCTTTCTTTTCTATATGGATTTGCTTCTCTCTGCATTCTTGTGTAAACCACTGGTCTAGCTGAGAGGCATTTACAGGAGTGACCTTGGACAGGAGGCATTGACCTGCCTGTAGACAGCTGCTGGTGTATAACACCCAACCCTGATGTCAGCATCAGACAATACAGAACAAGCATGGCACCTGCCAGGGAGCCAGAGCAAGGCTCCCTGCAGTAGCACAGGTGTATCTTGTAACCAATTTTTAATGCAGAAGATCCAGGTTCAGCACCCACATGGTGGCTCACAATCATCCATAATTCTAGTTCCAGGGGATCCAGCACCACCATGCATGCATACGGTGCATATACATACATGCAAGCAAAACGTTCTTGTGTATGTGTGTGTGCGTTCATGCTTGTACAATATTTACATGTATAGTCTAAAGTTGCACCCATTAGGGAGACCCAGCACTCACTGGATGTGCTTCCACAGTTCTTCTTTTGCTTGGATATCAGGACTTCTTCTGTAAATAAATGAAACAAAATTCACCCCTACAATATGTGTCATGCACAAACCTTAAGAGTTACCTGCAATAGTTTTGGGAGGTCTCGCTTGCCACCCAGCTGCTGACAGGAAACATGAGCAGGGAGAGCCATTATATTATCAACAAAAAGGTAACAGGTTAATTTATTATTGGTCAGTGAGACTGAAAAACTCACATAAATGTACATAAATAAAACAGTGACATCACCAGAGCTTCGTTTATGAAAGAGCCCGGAAGGCAGGCTTGGTGACAGACCCATAGTTTCAGCACTTGATGGCAGAGGCAGGGGTCTCACCACAGATTTGATGCCAGCTTGGCCAGCTGGTGTTACATAGCAAGGCACTATACATCACAAGTAAAAGCTACATAGAAAAATCAGGAAAGAGCTCAGACATTTGGAAGCATGTGCAAACCCTCTGGCAGTGACTGGACAATGGGCAGTAATTTAGGAGCGCCGGTTCCTGAGCTTACTATCTACGTTTTCATTGTGTTTACTTATGTGTGCATATGTGTGCATACTACTGTTCACTCAGAACAGTCTCCAGCACTTAGCTCTCTGCTCTACCATGCTAATCCCACGGACTCGGTCCCTAGGCGAGGCAGTAGGTACCCCTAACCTGCTGAGCCATTTCACCAACTGTCCACTTCATTTAAGCAGAAGAGAATTCATTTCTGTCGCCCACTGTAAGACTCTTAACATGATCTGCAATGACCTAGCACAAGCAGCAGCCATGAGGGGAGGCAAGTGGTACAATAATGTCCCCCTTCATGTGACATCTCAAGCTGCAATCCTGCACTGAAATGTAGGCCACACAGGACAGAGCCTATCTGTGGCTTCCACTCATGCTGATGCGCTTTCCCTGAAGACCAGAAATGATAGATAGCATTACGTTGAATGTCCTAGAACAAGAAACCTGATGTCACTATTCATGTTCAGACCGTACATCAGGGTTAGCTGTGAACCCCCACTGTAGCAAGGAATAGTAAACTTATTTCAGTTGTTGACACTGTCTCTTCAGGAGAAAAGAGATCTAGCGGGAGGTCCCCAAAGGGTCCTAAGCCATGACGATAACCGCCAAGAGTTAAGCCACCGGATCACCCCAGCCTCTGGAGTTTCATACCGATGTTCAGTGTCACTTTCAGCATACAATCTTGTCAATGCTTTCATTTGTCCCTTGGGCATTCTGGCTTTCTGAATCCTCAGACTACAATAAGCTATTTATTTAGCTACAGAACAGACCAAGTGGCTTTTCCTTTGTGTGTGTGGACTGGGTGAGAGGACAACCAGAATCTGTTCCTTAGGTCAAATGAAGAGGAATGAAGTACGGTCAGGGGTGGGAGCCGAGGCCCTGATGTCTGACTAAGAATGCCGTTGAATACTGATTTTTGTCATATAAAATTCTATGCTTTAAAGATCATACAAACAGTCTGGAAGGGCTCCTGAACAAAACCTGCCTTTCCTACACTCTGCCCATCTGATTCCCTGGGCAGTATGCCAAACCATTAAATGGTAACTAAGAAGGTGCAAAGATTTCAGAGTACTAAGCTGTTCTTCCACTCGCTAAGCATGCTGGGTCAGCATGCAGTTCTCAGAGGATGCCACCCAACAGTCTGTCACTCGGTGTGGAGGTAGAGGTGCTGCTGTGCTGACAACCTGTCCTCTCAGGGACACTGGAAAGGTGGATTCGCAGCCTTCATGTTCCCGTGGGTTTTGAACTCTCCACACTGCTGACATTCTGAGCACTAATTCTTTGGGAGCTTCCCCGTGCTGTGTAAGATTAGGTCAGTGACACCCCAACATCTATCCACTAGAAGCCAGTAGCCTCCTTAATGTTAAAGAAAACAGTGATTCTGGGGAGCCCATGAAATGAATCCACAGGTAAAGATACTTGCCACCAAGTCTGGTGACCTGAGTCCAATCTCTGGGACTCACGTGGTAGAAACTCCCAAAAGGCTGTTCTCTGGCCTTCACACACATGATGAGGCACATAGCTCCCGCCTGACCCCTAACACACAAATAAATAAATGTAATTAAAACTGTTAAATGACTCGACATTGCCAAGTGACCCAGAAAAGACAAAGTTGCCCCCAACCTGAAAAGTACGATTCTGAAAGTAGCTAAAATTAGGTGAGAGAAGTGAGTGGACAAGTTATTGTAATGACCCAGGATGGGACCCCAGAAACAACGCTGAGCTCAGGCAGGGATTGGGTACTAAAAGAGAGGGGGGTGAGACCGGGGTCCCTGACAGTGAGAGAGGGCAGATGAAGACGGGTGTCATCTGAATGCAAGTGGTCTGAAGCTTAACTCGTTTACAAGATAAGGAGGCAATTTGCAAGGGACACACAACCCACGGCTGCCACGGCAAGCGTGAGACGTGAGGAGAAGGAACATTTATTTTTGGAAACAAAAAATATGCATGTGTGCACACTTGTATGTGTGTATGCATGCCTCTCTGTGTGTGTGTGTGTGTGTGTGTGTGTGTGTGTGTGATAACTCAGCAGGTGTGTGTGTAATGACTCAGCAGGTAAAAGCACCTCCTGGCAAGCCTGGTGACCTGAGTTCCATCCCCAGGTAAATGCAAAGAACCAACTCAGAGGTTGTCCCCTGACTTCCACACACACCCCTGACTTCCACACACACCCCTGACT